AGAATTCGAGGAAAGAGAACGAATTAGAGGGGAAGCAGCAAAACCGACCTGCCATTTTGTTTTTAGCCTCTAAGGCCCCGTTGAAGGTGTAAAATTAAAATTCATGCGCGCGAATGCCGACCAGCAACACGTCGTTACCAAAATATATAATGGTCTCGTGAAAGTTGTTACATATGTTATATATAAAATAGATATTTCTTTGCAAATAACATATTTCTCAAAATATGTGAAGATTGACGTTTCTAGGAATTAGGGTTCACCACAACTATGTCGATCTTGGTGTCTTGCCTCCGTCGTTAACGACCACACCGGAGGTGTTTCCACGCGGCTTTCAGTTTCCAATATCGTCGGATTGCAATTGACAATAAAGCAGATCCGGGATACCGTCTCGGACTCGCAGATTTTGATCTGCGACGGCCGAGATATCGGGAACAATAATTTGATCCCGGCCGCCCGGGGCCGATCTCCGGATTTCCCGCTGGTTTGTGGATCGTTCCGCGGCTGAACACTCCCGGTCCCTTTTATTTTTCCCCGCGAGTGCGAGTGTACGGGATTCCACTTTTAGGGCGAACGTCGCCCCTCTTTTGTAGAGAAGTGCGCGCAGTTTGCAGGAAATACGAGTGCCTGGCCGACGGCGGGTCGAGCTTTAATCCGCTTTTATTTTCCAGAATCGTTCCCCCGCGGTGCGATCTTTATGACAAGATCGTACCATACGTGAGGACATTAAATGTGTTGCCCCGTTTGCGAGCAGCGTTCGCGAAGAGCACGAGGAGGAGGAGGAGAGAGAGAAAAAAAAAGAACGGAGGAGGAAGGGAGAAAGAAGGAGGAGGGAGGCATCGGTGTAAAGAATTGTCCCGCGAGTCGCGCAATATGGTATTCCCTGCGGGCTCGTAAGATCCCGAGGTGTACAAGTTGTATTCGCGGTGTTTCCGACTCGGATGAGTTACCGGCGGGCGAAAGTGTCCGCACGCGCGGAGAGGCGTGCCGAAAATAACCGAAACTAAGGTGCGCGAATCGAGATACTCGCCCGATATACACGCTGCGTCTCTCGCGTATGCCTTGAAAAGCAATGATTCCTCCGATTATTATTCCCTCACTACGAATGATTATGTCTACAACTATCAAATATTTTTCCCTCAGTGTATAAATAGACGACGCTCAACGACTTCTCGGGCACGCGGTAAGGGCACGTTGCTTCCTCCGTTGATAACGAGGGATTAGAGAGTAGCTTCCGTTTTCCCCACTCGCGCCTACGATGTCCTTTTGAGCTCGCTCGAAACGACAGCGACGCAGCCGTGAGGAAGCGAGGGAGAGAGAGAGAGAGAGAGAATTGGAGAGACGAAGAGAGAGGGGAGAAACGGTAATTAATTAGTAATTATATCAGCGGCTGCCCCGGAAAAAGCCGGTCTGCGCTCGCGTTCGCACGGAATGGCTGGTTGCCGTGCGCCGCCGACGAAACTCTCCCCGATAACTTTGCTTTCTGACCTAACTCCAATTTCCGCTAATTATACCGTGGCTACCTACTTCCTCCTTCTCGCTCTCAAACGCACCTACCTCTCTATCTTTCTCTCTTGCATTCACCGACTCGTCTTGCTTCCTTTCGCCGACTTTTCCTCTTCATTTTTCTCAATTCCGCCTCTCGTCCGGTGCTACCTGGAAAAATCCCGGAAGTAGGGCCGCGGTATTTCGCACGCATCGCCGTGGTAGCGGTCACAAATCGCGTGATTACGCGTAGTGAGAGTGTCAGGGGGGAAGGGGGAGGGTCCCAAAAGCGAAAGAAAAGAGAATCGCTTGCGTTTCTCGCGACAATTGAGAATTCATCGTCGGACGAGCGAAAGTTTCAACACACCCGTGTGTTGATTTAACATATTGTATTTATGCTATCTCAACGTTTTGTATTAAGCCGATATGTGATAAGAGTTGAAATAACACATTTTATATTTCAGGGTCGATTAACGTATTAACTTTTGACACAACACTCGGGTCGCTATTCGCCATATTCGTCTTAAATGAATTTAGTTTGAATTAATTTAAATTAACACAAAAATATCGGCGGGCTGTTTAAGACACAGGAAACGCGTCAAATTAACGCGAATCTTTTACCGTGCGAGATTGGATGCCGAGGGAGATATTCGGCGCATCGTTACAGAGGAAAAGAGTGAGTCGTGAGTAATGGACGAACGAGTGAGAGAGCGGCGAAGAAGGCAGAGCCTGCTGAAGCTAAAAATTGCAAACGAGCTTCCCTTCAGACGTCGCAAATTAGCGAGCTGCGCGGCGGCAACTCTTACATTTAATTATCGTTAATGAAGGGTCGGCTACAATTGACATCGGGGCCCTGCGAGAGATCAAAAGCTTCGCGAGTAACTATGGATGCATATCGCGTATACCGGAAGACGCGGCTGGAGGCAACACAGTGGCATCCGCTACGTTAGACACGCCGTCGCTCCGCACTCGCGGCGTACAGGAGCGCGCTGAGAATTAAGAGTCGCTATAATGGTCGAACGTGTCCAGAACCAATCCGCTTTCCAGCGGCGAGAGGGGAGCTCCTCTTCGGCACGTCGGCACAAAAGGCGCGAACCCCCTTCTCTCTTTCTGTTTCTCCTTCTCTCGAATATTAATAAATCCCATCTGCCTCCGTCGTTTCCATCGACTCCCTTTCGCAACTTCGAGACGCAGTCGCGAGAACAGGTATCTCTATCTTCTTATATAGCGAATTCGCGAGATTCCTCGTCGCCCTTCCCGCCTACCGTCTCTCCTCCTCCCATTCTCGCTTCGTCTACCCTCCCCCGTCGATTTCCCCGCTCATCCGGGATTCCGAAACACTTGGACTTATTAAATGCAAAATGCTTCCGGCAAACAATGCTTAATCGCGACGTCGCTCCTCGTTGTAATCCTCGTTGCAGATTCGCAGACGCGAAGGGCGAGAGAAAGTTAGAGAGAGAAGTGAGCGAGAGGAGGGAGAGAGGACCAAGGGGACGAGCGATCTCGCGACGAGGAGAGAGAATATCGGCGGCCCTCCCGCCCTCGTTCGCTTTCGACGATAATCCGATCTCTCTAAAGAGATTTCCCATTTTTACAACTTCGTTTGAGCTCGCGGCGGACTCCGTTGCCGACGGGCATTCGAAATATTCGCGGAATCTCGGATTTACGTTCGCGGCCCACGGAGGAACCCGGCCGGAGGGAAAGACTCCAGCCGCCCCAGGGCCGGTACGCGGAGGGAAGGGAGGGAGGGACTCTTCCGCGCGCGAAGAGAGCGCAACGACCGCCGCCGGTGACCGTCGGGCTGCGCTACCTCGGTGAATTCGCTCCGATTATTTAAAAACACATGCAAACCATCCCTCTGTTCTCCACAGGGGGGACGGGGGTGGACACGGAGTATTTTGCTTTTCCGAAGGAAACGTTAGGCGATGCGAACGATACGGTCGCACGAGTGTAATATTTCTCCGCCGTTGTTCGCCTCTCGCCGGACGTCGGGGACTCTTCGGCGTTCGGGACGAAACATGTCCCGCGTTTCCCCGTTTGCGTTTCCTGTTTGCAGCTCGAACCGGTTATAATCCACGTCGCAATCAATTTGCGACGCGGGTCTCCACGTGACCGACAACACAGCGAGAGAGAGAGAGTTGCCGTCGCGCTGATGTAGCATCGCATAGCGCGCGTATTTTCTTCCGTCGAAGGGAAACGACCGCGGGATTTTCCAACCCGATCGCCCGCCTCGTCTCGGAAAACGAGAAAATAATCCAGCCGCGGACTCGGCGTTTCCGTGCCGCGGCGGTTGGCGGACGAGAGGAACGAGAAACACCGGTTACAATTGTTTCATTACGTTCCACCTGGCTGCAGCGTCGCGGCCGGCGGCTCTGACAAGCCCGTCGGCTGGCAAGCTGCGATCCGCGCTGAAAAATACCGCAGCCCGCGTTCGACGACGACACGACGACGGTGCCACCGACGCACAATTGTTTCGCATTCCCGGCAACCGACCCGGGTTGAAATTTCAACGCTACTTCGCCACTCTTAAGCACAGTTCGCGCCCACTTAGATAGCTATTGACTAATAAGAATCTGTTCTAGCGATCGTCAATTTTTCCCTTGAACCTTTAATTTCACAGATTTAGTTTTAATTTACTTTGAAGCTGGAAATAATCTTGATATTTCGACTATTAAATTTATAAGAGCATTCAAAGTAATATTCGTTTAGAGCTGAAAACAGCGAAAACGGCAATTGAAAACGTTGTCAGGCTCATTGAGGAATTTCCGGTTATCTAAATTGTGTTTAATTCGTAACAACCAGAAATTTGGCTTCCTTCAATCAAATCGCATTTGGTTTGCCCATTTCAAGTTAACTCAATTAAATATGTAATAACAATACGCATATAAAGTTATTATCACTGACAATATATGAATAATAATACTTACTATAAAAAATGATTCTTCTGTACGAAGAAAAATATCATTCTACTGCTAAAAAAAGCGATTACTCACTTTACTATTCTTCTTTTAAGCAATGGCTACCTTCAACAAAGGATATTTTTTTGATAACAATCTTAAAATATGCTCATCGCAATAATTATAAAAACCCATTATCACGCGTACTGAACTAAGAATTTATTCTCTTTTTAAGAACACCATAAAACTTGGTCAAAGAAAATTAATCTCAGTTAATTTCAAGAGACACACACGACCCGATTTTTATTTTAATTTAATATTTTCGATCGAAGCACTAAACTTATACTAGGGAATTCAGAATATTTCGAGTAAATTTGATACTTACGATGAACTTATGATATATTTACGGATATATAAACCTATGAAATACTTAAGAAACAAGTAACATTTACTTACGCGCAGCGTGTATTTTTCTCCGTGCGATTAGAATCCTTTCACTTGCGCGATTGCAGTTAGACAGATATCGAAAGTTCTTCTCGGCGCGGATATTTTCCACCGGCGATTATGCCTCACAGACGACGAGATTAACGTTGAAACCCTCTCGTTCCTTCCTTGTTGCAGGTTGCACGTTTCCAGAGGAGTGGTACGGCCGGTGGTTCCAATCGGGGAACCAGGGCCTGGTGACCGTGAACGGCTCCATCATCACCAGCAAGGGCCAGTGCATCGAGAAAAATGGCGACAAGTTCCTCGTTCACGACGCGTGAGTCTCGTTTGAATTGCAAGTAGGAAGAGAGAGAGAGAGTTCAGACCGGCCGATATGAAACGTATATAGCGGCAGTATTCCATCCTTTTATATTCCCCTCGCTCGCCAGCCCCTCTCCGCCCCTCTCGCCCCCGGACCGCCGCCCTGTGCGACCCCGTCGCTCCCGTACACGCGCCCGCCCGTCCTCTCTCTCTCCCTACCCTTCTTTCCAGCTTTTATTAATTAACTGCCCTCCGACAAAGCGCTCGAGGCGACGTGCCAACGAGAGAGAGAGAGAGAGAGACGGTCCGCCGTATAAAACGTTTCTCCTGAAATTCCATCCGTGAAACCGGAGCAGGGGTGGCTTTGAGATCGAAGAACGGGCGATCGCGCGCGCGCCGGCTCACACATCGATACACCTTTGCCGTGTCCGCACGTGTTTTCGCGTTCGTGCGTAGTGATGGTGGGAGATTACGACGAATGCGCTACGTACATGCGAACGTACGCGACTAAATGTTAAATAGAAACTGCGAGCTACCCCGAGGCGAACACCGGCCGTGGTGGACGGAGGTGGCCGGACGTGACCTCCACGTGAAAAAGCTTCCCGGTCAATTGTGCAGAGGCGATTCGCGCGCGAGTTATAATCGCCACGTTGCCGAGACTTCGTAATTGTTACTTCCTCGCCGGAACTTCGCGCTCTCCGTTCGGTGCGTGCAACAAGCGAATTGTCGCGGGATTGAAACGGCATTTTACAGACCGAGCGGACGAATCAGAGACGTTTGTTAATATCCTCGAATATATCTTCCTTCTTCACGTGAGATATTCGGAGGATAGTTGGGAAAGTGTATTTACCGTGTCGGCAATCAGTTTACACGGGGTTTGTCATATTTCTAAAGCAGCTCGCTGGCTCAACGTCGAGCGAAAGTTGTTCGGATTGTTCGGCGGTAGGTGAGAGTAAAGATTGGATTTGAAATGCAATCAGGCTCGTCGGAGATTTTCCACTCGGATAGACGGATGTATGTAAATTCGTCTGCGACTTTACACGAGATATGTACACAGGGAATAAGGTTTCTTTGGATTTGGCACACGTATTTGTTTGTCTTAGGTTTGTTTAATATAAACGATATAATTTAATATCAAATGTCATTTTTCGTTTGGATGAACATTGTTGTTGTTAAACTGCGTCGTTTGGTAGAAAGAAACTGAAATTTATGTACATTTAGGAGAAATAATATTTCGTTTTCGATTAAGAGAAATTTATTTCACTATGTATTAAATATATTGTGCCGCTGAAACAAAGAGATTCATTAATATTTTTCTAATACAGTGTTAATTCTTTCAAATAATTTATTACTTGTTGCGACAACTGTTGTAATGTTTGACTGAAAATACAAAGGAAATATGTTATTTGATGTAAAGATATTTATCGCTCAAGAAATCAAACAATTCTGTTTGTTGAATCGAACGTTCACTCGTTTTATTCCAGAAGACACATTTGAAAATAAATTCGAAGACGAATTAAAGAAATGCTATTAAATCCGAAGAAATCTTCTCTGTGTAAAAATTGTTTAGATATATTCCTTGTGAACTGCTTCACAATGGCGCCCGTATTTATCACACGGAGCGAAATGGAAATACGAAAGGAATTATCGGGATTAATTCAAAACTGCAAAAATATAATATGAATAAAATCTGGGAAAATACGGCAAATTTTCATTTGGTATATACATACTCGATAAATATGTATTTAATAAATTTACCGCATCAATGTGACAAAAAATTTACATTATCGCGTAATGTAAATTCAACGATTAATTCGGCGCAGCATATTTGCTCCATAAATGTAATTAAAAAGTTACGAAGTTCCCATCATCGATCGCGTCTCACGTCGTGACGAGTCGTAAGAGAGTCTATCCGGCTAACTTTTTCTATCCGGCATTACGCGTCACACGTGGGCGCGTTTTATCATACATGCGGGATAAAAGGTATCAGAGGGCAGCGGAGGGCACGGGAGAGAGCTTGATGGTGTGTCTCTGTCGTCGCCGACGTGAAACGGCGAATTTGCACGGAGGCGATGGCACGACTCGGGGAAGAAATCGATTCTCCCTCTCCTCCCCGTCTGTATCTTCCGTGAAAGTTAACGAAACAGATTATCCGGCGTTTTCGGGGGGACTGTTCGGTTGTACATAATGAGATTATCGCACCGCCGTGTTATCTCCCGCGAGCCGACGGTGGGAAAATAATTGAAACGGCGGAATCCCCGAGGTCCGGTCACGTTGTCGAAAAGAAAACATTTTCCGCCGGCTCGATCGCTCGGCAACCACCTCCTCCTCCGCGGAATTTCCGCTGTATTTTCATTCGCACGCTCCCCGCGAAATCCGCACCGGCCGGTCCTCGCACGTGTCCTCTGCACACATACATACGCACATGTAACATCTCTGTCTGTCTGTGTGTGTGTTCGACGGAATAGACCGCGCGTGTGTACCATCGCGCGGTAGTTTCTAATCAAACACGATCGTTTTATACGACGATAGAATTACAAAAACGATATCGCGGCCCCGCCGCGGAAATTCTCCCGTCCGAAATTATTCGCGACCGCGGGGAGAAGTATTCCGAGATCGTTCCACTCGCTCGCTCGCTCGCTCGCGAAGCGGAGAGAGTTGCTTTGTTGCAGCCCCGCCGCTTGGGAAACCCAATTAATTTTGTTTGATCGGCACTTTTTCCAATTTTGCGCCGATCGCCGGCCGCTCGCGCCGTTCCGCCGCGTATCCTCGAATCGAAGGCAAAGTTAAACCATGGCCCACTTCGCCCGGATAATATACACGGTATATATAATACATACATGTATACATATGTGTATGCATGTATGTATATATGTATGTATATATGTATGTACATATGTATGTACATACGGGATGTCGAGGCGATAGAACGTCCCCTCCGCAGTTCTACGGTGAAACTTTCAGTTCAATTAAGTTAGTGCGATTCTCGCTTAATTCGACAGGCTCGTGCCGATCTTCGGGAAATTCCACGACAGTCCACCCGGTATATGAGCAGCGTCGAGCAGCGTCGTGCGGCGAGTCGATCGCGCGACTTGATTAACGCGCGGCCATAATCGTAACATTAGCGGACCGGAGAAACTGTTTTTCGCAGCCGTTATTGGCCCTTCTCGGAAGACGAATGCGCGAAGCGGGGAGAAATCGAAAGGGGGATGAAGGGGATCGCGATAAAATCTCTGGAGAACGGTCTGTGCGGCGCGCGAGAGAGAGAGAGAGCGTCGATATCGCGCGCGTAATTGAACATTCAACAAATACCGTTATCAAGCGACGCCGCGTTATTTATTCACCGCATTCGTTCTACTTTTTTTTGTTTCACTTCCCTGCGAAACTAACGAACGAGCGACGCTAACTCGAATCGGATCGAGTAGGAATGCCCGGCTGGATGAGCCGGCGAGCTTTTCGCTGAAACGAACGCTCTAATTCGCGAAATAATCCGGGGAATAATCACGTGTCTTGTCGCCGGTCGCGAAACGAAACAGCCGGCGACGAGTGTCCGGTTAAAAATTTAACGTACACTTTGGAGTTTTGCAATTTCGGAACAAGTCTCGACGGTGATGGAGCTCTCCGCGTGGGGACATAAGGTGGACATTGAATTGGGAGTGACTCTCAAACGGTGTCCATTTGAGAGTGCCGGCCCCCCGGGAGCAACTCCTGATAGCAAAACTCTCGAGCGGGCGGCGAGCTCTCGTTGATAGCGGATAGAAAACACAAACCAAATAAGCCTCGAATCGCTGTAAATATTTGTATTTAATTTTGCCCCGGGTTACTCCAGTCTCGAAACACCTCGACAATGCGACCACTTTTTCCCGCAGCGGATGCCGAAATTGTCTCTGGGTGAAATCAATTGAGGAGGGCTCTCGAGATTGACAATCGGAAATTCGTAAAATTCTAATTTTTCTGAAAGCATCGTATCTTTTTTCTGAGGCAGCGTTTTACAAATTGAATTCGGAAATCATGCCCAACACGTGAAAAATCCTAGTTACACACTTCGCTTTGATAAAATCACTTTAGGGCTCTAAGATGAGAAAATATTTCATGACGAGAAAACGTATTTTCGCGGCAGTGAAGAAACGCATGTTGAAAACGACGAGAATTCTCGTTATCGGCAGTCAAGGGATTAAGAGCTGAAGCTGGTATAACAGCGATCAATGACAGACTAATTTTTCACTCATTGATTTTGATTTCCTTCAGACGTTTCGCCGGAGAAATTCGAGTCGGGAATTTCTTCGCGCGAATGTTGCTGACTTTAGCACCGGACGGAATTATTTCGTTGTACAGATAAGGAACAGCTCTCTCTGCTTGGGAAATATATTTCGACAATTAATCGCCGGCCCCGCGAGAACGAGACTTATCAAGTGACATTAGGGGCCACGTTTGAGCAACGCCGACGGCGAAAGAGGGGCAGGTGTCTGCGACGAATCGATCTTGGCAATCCGCTACTTACTAAACGATATCGCCGACAGAACGAGTTTATTCATATCCACGTTGTCGAAGACGACCATGATTTTCTTAAAAAATGTAGACCGAGCGGGCGGTGACAAAGTGAACGTGGCGACGCTAAAAGACGCGTGCGGGAAGAGAGAAAGCGAGAGAGAGAGAGAGAGAGAGAGGGGAGAAGAAAAGGACAACGGATGGCGCGCGGCGGGTGACGCGGCAGTCGAGCGGAGTTGAGAGCTAAGTTTTAATTAATGTAATGGAGAGTAGCGCGTGATTAGCCTCCCAATCAGTATGCTCTTCTCACCGTCGCTGCGGCTCGAGCCGGAGAGGAGAGGAACGAATCGCGCAGAATAATGGAAAAAGAGACAGAAGCGGAATTCTTCCGATAAGAAGGGACGAGAAGAAGTGGAAAAACCGAGCGCACGGGAATGGACGCGGGCGACATGAAATCTAAATAAATTGTTCGACAGGGAGAAAGGCAGATGGGCGAGAAAGAGGAGAAATTCTCTTTAGAGATATTAA